AAAAAAAAAAGAAAGAGAGATGAGATCAAATGTGGTAGGTATGCTGGAATTGTGAGACTAGAAATTTTTTAAAACTATGACAATATGCTAAAGGCTATAGTGAATAAAGCATGCAAAAAAACCGATGACTAACCAGAGAGATGGAAATTCTAATAGAGAATTAAAACAAAAAAGGGAGATTAAAAAAAAAACAGTAACTGAAATAAAAAATGTCTTTAGAGGGGCTTATATTTAAACTGGACATTACAGAGGAAAAGAGCCTGAGGATATCTCAATAAAATTCTTCAACACTGGGGGTGCAGAGAGAATATTCAAGAATGGTGAGGCAGCTACATAGATATAACACACACATAACAAGAATACAAAAACAAAAAAGAATGAACAGAAGAAATACTTTAAACAAAAACCACTTGAGAACTTCCCTCAAATTAATGTCCTACCAAGTCACACAAGCAGGAAGCTCAGAGAACACAAAGCAAGATAAATGCCAGGAGAACTATACCTAAGCATACGGTATTCAAATTACAGAAGATCAAAGATAAAGATATTCAAAGGAGCCAGAGGAATAAAAACATTGTACTTATACAAGGGAGAAGTACATCCGAACACGTAAGTGGCACAAGCACCTGCCTGGCAAGAGCAAGGTCCTGAGTTCAATTCCCAGTATCAAAAAAAAAAAAAAAAAAAAAGAAAAGAAAAGAAAAAAGAGAAGAAAACATGTAAGCAGAAAGACAGTACAAAAGAAAGAAAAAATCCACCAACCTAGTATTGTGTACCTAGCGAAATTACCCTTCAAAAGTAAGAGAATTGAAAACTTTCTCAAATAAACAGAAACAGGGAATTTGTCACCAGTAAACCTTTCCTCATTAAGAAATGTTAAAAGGAGTTCTTTAGAAGAAAAATTATATAGATCAAAAACTCAGATCCAATAGGAAATTAATAAGGAAATAAACATCAGAGAAGAAATCAGTAAAAATGAAGTAAAATAAAAACTTTCCCCAGCACTCTGGGAAGCTGAGGCAGGAGGACTCCAACTTCAATCCTAGACTGGGCAAATTTGACAGACCCTGTCTCAAACTTTAATAAATAATAAAGAAGGGGGATAAGAGTATAGCTCAGTGAGAAGGCCCTGGATTTAATCCCCAGTTCCATAAGGAGAAAAAGAAAAAAAACCCTTTCATCTTTCTTATTCTTTTTCTTTACAGTGCTGGGGATTGAACCCAGGGCCCTGCATGTGCTAGGTGAACACTCTATCACTGAGTTACAATCCCAGCCATCATTTTTTAAGAATTCTTAATATATTCAATAAACAGGTTTAAAAAATAATAACAGCAAAAATTAATCCAATTATGTATACTTATATATGTGTATTTATAGTATGCATCCTTATGTATGCTTATGTAGAAATAAAATGAATGACAGCAATATGCAAATGATAGAAGGGAGAAATTAAGATTATTTTGTCATAAGGTACTCACCCTACCTATGAAATGGTAGAGTGCTACTTGAAGCAGACTTGAATTAGTTGTAGATGTATATTGCAAACTCAAATCACTAAAAAAAGTTTTTTAAAAGTGTATAAATAATGGGCTAAGAAAGAAAAGAAAATGTAATCATTACTCAACTTTATAGACAAAAGCTGTGTAAAGAAGTTAAAGTGAAGGAAGACAAAAGTGAAAGCTACTCAAACAGTGGAAGACAGTAAATCCAAAATAAGCAGAAGAAAAAATAAAATCAGAGAAGTCAATGATATTAAAAATAAGAAATCAATGGAGAAAAATCAAAAGCTAATTCATTGAAAAGGTCAATGAAAGTGATCACCCTCCAGGGCAAGGCTAAGAAAGACAGAAGACACAAATCACTAATATCAGAAATGAAAAACAGACATTACTACAGATCCCAAAGACAGTATAAAGATAAACTTATATGATCCTGTTAATAGTGCCAGAGAGAGAGAAAGAGAGAGAGAGAGAGAGAGAGAGAGAGAGAGAGAGAGAGAGAGAGAGAGAAAAGCATTTGACAAACACCAACACCCATTTATGATAGATTAAAAAAACAAAAACTCAGTAAACTGGGAACAGAGAACTTGCTCAAACTGATTCAGAAAAACAAAATAAAAACAGAAACAAAAACAAAAACAAAAACAAAAACACCGCGGGCTAATATCACACCTTAATGATAAACCAGAAAATTTCTCAGTAAGATCAGAAATAAGACAAAAATGTTTCCACTTGTTCTTGGTAACATTGTATTGGAAGTCCTAATTAGTGTAAGACAAGAAAAGGAAATAAAAGGTATGTAGATTGAGAAGAAATAAAACTTTTGTTTACAAATGACATGATCATCTATGGAGAAACTTCAAATGAACTGAAAAAAATCTTCTGGAACTAATAAGCAATTATGTAGCAAGGTCTCAGGACACATCATCAATTGCGTTCCTATATAGCCTTCCTTTGATATTTTCACGGGAATGATTCTAGGAAACCCCACTGGATACTAAAATCTGTAGATGTTTAAATCCCTTATATAGAATGACATAGTATTTGTGTATAATGTAATCAATTCCTCCTGTATACATTAAATCACCTCTAATTTACTTATCTAATACAATTTAAATGCTAGTATAATTTAACTGTTACTATACAGTTCAGGGAATAGTGACCCCTCCCCCCAAAAAGTCTGTACACGTTCAGTACAGATACAATTTTTCCACCAAATACTTTCAATCTAGTTACTTGAATCTGGAGTCTTAGAACTGATGGGTACAGAGGGCAAACTATTCATGAGCAATGAACAAGTAAAATTTTAAATTTAAAAAAATACTATTATATTAGTGCCTCCAAAAATGAAACACTCAGCTATAATCTAACAAAGTATACATAAGAACTATACAGGAAATACACAAAACTCCGATGAAAAAGAATGAAATAGAGATATATTCTACATTCAATGGATAAGAAGACTGAATATTGTCAAGCTATCAGTTCTTCCCAACTTAACCTTGAAATTCAATGCAGTATCAATATGTCAGTAAGTTATTTTGCATTTATCAACAAACATTCTAAAATTAAAATGTAGAGGCAAAAGACTGAGAATAGCTTACAAGATATTGAAGAAAAAAAAACCCCTAAAAATAGAAATTCCATTTGACCCAGCTATACCTCTCCCTGGTACATTCCCAAAAAATTTAAGGACATCAGACTATAGTTATATATATATATATCCACTATCTATAGTAGCACAATTCACAATAGCTAAACTCTGAAAACAAGCCTAGAAGCCCATCAACAAATGAGTGGACAAAGAAAATGTGACACATATTTAAATATTATTCAACCATAAACAAGAATGAAATCATGTCATTTGCCAGAAAAATGGATAAAAATGGAGACCATCACGCTAAGGGAAATAGGCCAGACTCTGTTAATTATCACGTTTTCTCTTATATGAGAAGTATACAATATAAATACATAAATAAATAAAGGAGAGACGATAGAAAACTAGAAGGTAGATTCCTGGAAAGAAGGAAAGGGATTGAGATAAGGAAGAAGAAAGACGGATGGGGATAAAGGGACTGACAATGATCAAAATAAGTTATATGCCTATACCCACCGATTTCCACAAACATACATCACTATCCTGTACTATAAACATGCACTAATTTAAAAAAAGCTGAAGATGAGAAACAAAATTGAAAGAGTTCACCTGCTTTCAAGTCTTACTATAGTGGTGGCAATTAGAATGATCAAATCTAAAACAGTGATAATACTAAATGCTGACAAAGCTATGGAGCAACAGTATTTACAATATATTATAGCAGTATTTAAATGGTACTAACATATACATGCATGAATATATATATACATATTCTTTTATAACTTCTGAATTTAAAAATTTAGAAAACTTACACTTTTTCCAAATAAACAAATGAAATTAAAACTTTTAAAGATGTGATGTACATGTACCAATTCTCCATGATGAATGTAGTCATTACATACTGCAAACATGTATTAATAAAAAGAAATTAAAACTTGAAGCAAAAAAAGAAATTTGGCAAAACTTACCTAGCAGGGGAAATTCCTCTCTTATAAAGATCAATCCTCACTTTCTCTCCCACATGTCTGTAAATCTCTACAATAGCCAATATTGCAGCATCTCTCACCTGTTAGAGAATTCAGAATATTTAAAGAAATTAGTTTCCTAGGGTTTTTGTAGAGGTTTCTTGGTAGATCCTTGTTTTTTTGTTAATAACATGCCACAATTTCTCTAGGGACATTAAAACCAGTTTGGGGATTCAAGTTGGTCTGCTAGTACAATGTTACCTTAAGGCTGAAGCCAGAGACTTGCTTGAGCCACAAGTTTGAGACCAATCTGGACACAGTGAGACATTTTTATGCAACCATATTCAAGAATAAAAGAAGCTGACAACCTGTCCTCACAACTAACTATGGGTTATGGAATACGTGTGTCTCTGGGGGAAATAAGACAGGAAGGTAGGATGCAGCTAAAACTGGCTAGGAAAGAAGGCACGACAAGATTCAGGACACACGTATAAAACAGTTCCGAAAACCCTGCACATGGGCTTTCCCCAAGAACTCAGGCAGGTTTTTGACAGGATGAGCTAGACCTGACATCAGCCTAAGGAGCAGGTGATATGAACAGGACAGTCCACACTGAGTTTTTACCACTATGTTCGCTCTTGCATGGTGGCCCATCTTCATGCTGTAGGATGCACTTTTCCTACTTTACCTGGCCCGAATTCACTCTGCAGAACCTGTTTCTTTTCCTACCTTTAATAAACCTTTGCTACCATTTAAAAAAAAAAACAAAAAAGTACCTTGCAGGAAGACCACAGAAAGGAACCCAGGGCCTTTGTTATTCAATCTCAAACTCAAGAACCAGTCATTAAGTCCCATCTATACTTAAACCTCCCAAACTACTAACAAATGAGGAACTTACATGAATGTATTTTTTTAAAACTATCTTTGGTATGCATTTAAAAAAGAGGTAAAGTCGTGATTTCGCTACCATTCTTCAATAGGATAAAAGCAAAACAGGGTACAGAAAAATCAGTCAATGCTTGAATGTAAATAATTTTTTACCTGGCTGTTGGAATCTCCAAATAAGATGCACAAGTGTGGTACCAACTTGCTGAAGACTAAGGGTTGAGCCCCAAAACTAAATGTAATTTGACAAAAAAAGAGAGAGAGAGTTGGTTTTAATTAAATAATAAACAAAATATCCTCATGTCTTGCCTCTTGTCTATATCAAATATGACAATTATGGTGGAGAGGTTGTGCACACATCATCAAAACACAAAAGATACCAGAAACAAGCAAAAACTAATTCTAAACAACGTGAAATATACAAACTGAAAATTAATACATGACCCAACATACCAAAATGCTCAACCAATGTCACTTTTAACCCTAGCAATCTATGAATTACTTAAGAAATCAGAGCATTCACTTTTGAAATAGATTTTTAGACAGTGGGTTTCGAATAAACTTGAAATTAAATGAAATAAGTAAATGAAAAGATCTTTATGCTTATTAATATTTGGATGAAATAACAGGTTAAAAGCAAATGACAGGAGAACCAAAACTCACAAAGACTATGCAGACTGAACACACCTACAAACTTTAGATGGAATAATGGACTTGAGAGCAAAAGAAAATAAAGTATAGTAAAAATTTAAAAAATGAAGAGGAAGTAACACTGTAGGAAAGTTGAAAGTTACTATGTATTACCTATCATATTGTATTAAACCTGAAAAAACTAGTCCAGAATGAAAACAAAGTCCCAGTTTACATTTCTTCAGAATCTTCTTCATATCTCTGTGGCATCAATACTGTTAGAATTCTGCACACTGCTACCAGATTTAGTTTACCCAGGAGTCTTGTTCAGGGTATGATTTGGTAGCCATCCACAGTACTCCAGGGAGCCTAGGGCCAACTGGAAAAGGGAAGATTTGGGAAGTGGGGCTACAATATACGAGATACCACTGAGTTAAAAACAATTCCAAATTGGATCCAGAGCTTAGATCCTAAATTATCAATGCATCAGTTCTATGGTGGCTATAATTAACATACTAAAGAAGAGAAACATTTCTTATAACTGATAATTTTAAAATTAACCACCTGAAGATAATATATATACTTTTAGAAATACCGTAAAATTACCAATAAATTTTGTGCTGGTCATTGGTTAATAACTATTTAAAATTTATTTACATAGTCTTTGATCTTGTAAAACAGATTTTTTTTGATAGGTGTGGTATTTTTTTTTTTGGTACTGGGAATCCAACTCAGGACCTTGTGCTTGCCAGGCAGGCACTTGTGCCACTGAGCAATATCCCCAGTCCCTCAGACTTTTTTTGAGAAATAAACATAAGAAGGCCATTTTCAGTAATATAAAACTTACATGTTTAAGGTTTCAATAAGACACAGACACACGCCTTCTCGCGATCGAAAATTCTTGTGCTTAAAACCAGAAGCCAACTGTTCCCAAATGTACTATTTGAAAGAAAAGTACAGGTATAACAAAGAATTATTCAAGTTATATTTTAACTCTCCCCAACCTTATTACCAACTTCATTAATAGCTGAATTTTCTCATCAGAATATTTCCACTTTACCACAGGCCAAGTATACCTTTTTGAAATGCTTCATTCCAGGAATATTTTGGATTTTTTTATTTTCAGATTTTAAAATACCTACATTTACACAGTAAGATACCTTAGGGATAGAACCCAAATCTAAACACAAACTCATTTATATTTCACATACACTTTTTTTTTTTCTTTTGGCTTTTTGAGACAGGGTCTCGCTATGCAGTTCAGGCTGGCCTTGAGCTCACTATGTAGCCCAGGCTGGTCTCGAACTCGCAACAATCCTCCTGCCTCAGCCTCCCGAGTGCTGGGATTACAGGCATGCGCCACCACGTGCAGCCACATACACTTTATATATATAAGCCTGAAGGTAACTTTATAAAATATTTTTAGTGCACTTGTGTTTTACCTGTGACCGGTTACATGAAGTCAGGTATGAAATTTTCCATTTGTGTTACTATGTCAATGCTTAGAAAGTTTTGGACTTTGGAGCATTTTTGGACTTTGATTTTTGGATTAGGGATGCTCAAATTATACGTACAAGTTACTAAGTCAAAATTATATCGCCATTCTTCCTAGTCATTCATCACATTTTTAATTTTATTTTTTTCACTTTAGATTTCAATTATTGTCATAAAAAAAATGTCCAGAACCTAAAAATCTTAGTATTTCCAAAGACATAGGATTTCTTCTATGTTTTAGAAACCTTCAATAACAATGCTAGCATTGTAAGTCCAGTAGTCTAGTAAGCATTTAAAAGGTCCAACACTGTCTAACAACTACTACACACTGTCATAAGGAATGGGATTTTTCAACACATTATAATTAAGGTCTTTCTCCTTTTAATACTATATCCACACATAGGATAATTTTGGAATGCCTCATTTTATGACTACTTAATTTGTTTACATTTATCTATGTTAAACAATACATGCTTTCTTCATAGATAAACTTACACAAGTAGTGTAAAATAATTACTTGAGTTTGGTTTAATAAGGAATCCAACTTTACTTTTCCTATTATCCAAGTGATAGCCAAATGCCCAATCAATCCTTTTTACACATTTGGAAACGTGACCTTTACCATTTATCAAATTCTCCCCCCACACACACACACACGTACACAGACACACTCACTTTCAAGACTCGGTACTCTTTTTACAGTCTGTATTAAGCTTTACTAATATACTTCTTTCTCTAAGGGCCTAGGTTCAATCTATAGCAGTGTAAAGACAAAAACAAAAGCAAAATACCAAATCCTATAATTCAATAATATGACTCAGCAACATAATCTCTGGAACTCTAATTTATAAAAATATTTATGTTTATATCCAAAGATACATGTACAAGGATGCTTCCTATGGTACTCTTTGTAATAACAAAAAACCAAAAACAACTTAAAATGTAAATCACTTAACATGTATAAAAAAGTACCAACCATTGGGCTGGAGCGGTGCAACCTTTTAATTCCAGCTACTCTTGAGGCTGAGGCAGGATCCTAGTTCAAGCCCAGCCTGAGTAACATAGTGAGACTGTTTCAAAAAATTTTTTTAAAAAAAGAATATCAAACTATTAACAAAGATTTAGTTCGGAGGTGTAGAATAATGGGAAGCAGTTTACTTTTACAATTTAATACTCTTTGGATTTTTATAAAAAACATGTAATATTAACAATCTTAAGCATTATATGATATCACTGTGTATATTATCTATTTGGATTTCTTTTTCCATTTGAATTACTCTCTCAATTTTTATTTATACATCACTTTCTCTTTATTCTCCTTTCAAAATATCTCCATGACATGGTTTGCATATGGTTTGTCACCCAAGCTGTCACATACTGAAGACATGGTCCTCAGTGTGGTGCTGTTGAGACAGATAGTGGGAACTTTAAGGGGAGGAGCTATGTAGGACACTGGAAGAAAAGCCACTTCTCCTTCCTCCGGGCTTCCTTCCAACCCTGTCAGGGTAGCACTCATCCTCTTGTCATTTCCATGTATGGGATGCACTCCTGCTATTATGGCACCATCTACCATAAAGAGAGTGATTCACCATAGGGGCCTGTGCTATGCTGTTTAGATTTTCAACCTCCAAAACTGTGAGCTAAATAAATCTCTTTTCTTTACAGGTATCTAGCCTCAGATATTTTGTTATAGTAAAAAAATAGAATAATAAATTCTATAAAAGCAAATTATTTGTACTGTATTCATAAAATCCCCATTCTTGTAATAGAGTATAAGCCTTATACAATTAGTAGCCACCTGTTAAAATAATTTCTCCCTTGCTGAGAGTTACAGGGATTAACATAACACTTAGTAATCTTTAAAATAAGCTTTCTCATTAAACATTTGACAGTTTGCATGTAAGGCAACACATAAAATCCTGAATATAATCAGTACAGTGTTAAATCACTTCAGTTCATATGTTAGGTTTCTGTAAAAAGCATAATAGTAGAAAATAAGGAAAGGAAAAAGGAAAAAAACCAAAAATTAAATATTGACATTGTTGCTTAAATTTCAACTTCTTAAAGCATTAGCAATAATTTACTCTTTGAAATTTCAGCTTTCATGCCTCCTATAGCTTTCACTAACTTGTTAATACCACCTATCTAAAGATTTTCTTAATTAGAAAAACCTGTATTTTAACATGTAGGCTTACCATAGGTGGTGCTACTTGATCCATTAACTTCAGTATCAGAGTCTGAGCTTCATCTCGGACTTTGTCTTTGGCATCTCCCATTCTGTCTATTAAAGCTACAATAACTAAGGGGAGTAGAAAGTAAATATGTATAACTCATCTATACTACAAACTATATTTTACAAAACTACAAATACCAATTGTGTCCATACATGAAAAGTTAAAAGATAAAGAAACTGGTTCTGGAGTTCTTTATTCCAAACAAAAATAACTGAGAAGCAAGTTTAAACAGAGTGTGTACACTATAATATCTACTTATGATAATGTTAAAAAGTAGACAAAATGTTATTTTATTTTACATTTCAGTACATAAATGATCAAGCTTTAGAGACAAGCAAAGGAACATGTCTCCCCAAGGCCATAAAAAGGATGACTGGTACATCAAGGATATCATTAGGAAGTGCAGGGAAGTCTAAAGAATTGGCAGAAGTTTAGCTTCTTAATTTGGGCATAATCAGGTGTTGGTTTTGTAATTATTTTTTAAATGGTGCATGTTTGATATGTACTCTTCCATATGTATGATATATTCCACAACTGGTAAACAGGAACAGAAAGTCTATATTACAGAACCGAGGTTTTTCTCTACCATGTCCTAGACACTGGCACTATTCCTTGAATAGAGGCAAGCAAGGCAGGTTAAAGCCCATTCTTAGAAAGCTTTCATGATCAAAGTTTTTGTAATTATAAATCAAGAATGAATTAAAAATCATATCCAAAAAAAACCAGAATTGAGATGTGCTGTGTACACATTCCAATTCCCCACAATGAATGTAATCATTATGTACTGCATACAGGTACTAATAAAAAAATCACATTGAAGGAATGGGTTCTAAAGTCCTTTCATAGAAAAAAACCTCAAAATTATCTTTCTGTACTCCCTTTACACACCACTTACTGTGATTTTACTACATGTGTCACCTTGAACACAGTATTTAACTGCTTTTTGTCTATTGCCTCACCTATAAACATGGGTAGTGGTACTCAACTCAGGGAACTACTAAAAATTAAAAGATAAGGCACGTAGATAACATAGAGGGAAGGGCATAGAGAAAGGACTCTCTATAATATGTCATCTGATAATCACTCCCATCCTCCATGTCCACATGCAAAGAAATGTCTTTTGTTCCTCTTTTGGCTTTACAGCTAATATGGCCTTCCTTTCTCTGAGTCACTGGAGGCATAGGTCTAATGTTAATAAGAGAATCAAGAAGAAATGAAATCGAGAAAGAGATATTACTTTAGTTTATTGACAGGCAAATATAATTAAATGTACATATAATTTGATGTCAGTATATTTGTCTACAATGCAATAACCAAAACTAATATAAAGGTTCAATAACACCTGAGGTAAAAGAGATGGCATTCTTTTTGGGAGAAAATTACTAGAGTAGAAGCCAATTGTCCAAATGCAATATCATCCAAAAATCTTAAGCTTAAGCAAGGAAATTACTATATAAGAAAATAAGGCCTACACCATGAAAACTATATCCTACTCCTGAGGCAATGGAAGCATTAGTGAGTGGAAAAAATATAAATCTTTCTCACCTTGTTTGGTATATTATTAACACTAGTACCCAAAGTCACACAAATTGCAGTTAGTGAAACCAGGATTTAAATAACCTGTAAAAGGTCCCAATCATAATCACCTCCATTTACTTATACATAATTTGAAGTGTTTAGGTGTATGTCTATGTGTTAATAACCACAGTATAGTACTAGGAAAAAAAGACTTTTTTTTTTTGAGATAGAATTTAGCTTAAAAAAAAAATTCAAATGTAAAGTTTACCAACTCTCCCAGTATTAAACACAAATGTTGGCCCAAATAGGGGCTCATTTCAATTAAATAGTAATTTTATACAATAGAAACAAAACTAAAACATGTCACCATAAAAACAGTATTATAGCTATTAACTTACATAATAAATTCATAATTTTTCTTCATCAAAATCTTTTTTTAACACATAGTTTCTGGGAAACAAACAGAATAAGATTTTATTCTTAGCTCCTGCCAGTTATATTAAACTTCCCTAAATACATAAACAAGTCAAATGTTTCCAAAACATAGTTTTTAACATCTACTACAAGATTTTAAGCAGAAGACTGACAGTAAAAATCTTCTTTTCAGAAGATATCAACAGAAAGGATGGTCTGGAAACCAACTAAGGATTTAAATTGCATAAGAAAGATCAAGAGGCCCATTAGACACTTCTGCCTGAAAAGATAGCTAGGGCATAAAAAGAAAATTTGACAGAATTTGGTGACATACCAAAACATGAATAAAAAAGCTGAACAATGATATCTGAAAATAACTGTGATGTTATATTGACATTATGAGCCACTTAATCCACACAGACAAAAAGATCACTAATAGTCAAGTCCCATATAACACTACATAACAGGACCCAATTCACTCACTGCATTCCAAAAGGCACATGAAGGTCACTCAAGTTTAGAAATAAGTCACAACCAGCTTTGTAATTGTAATACTATACAAAGAACAGGATTAAGTTAGCGTTAATACACTTTTAAGTATGCACTACTCAAAGTATGGCCAGCAGCCCAGGACCAATCTACAAAGTATGGTAAAGAAACTGAGAGTGTTTACAAAATGTCTTAAAATAATCTCACTAAAGTAATTTTGTTTATTGAATCTAATAATAAAAATTAAAGCCAGGCACAATGGCACACACTTGTAATCCCAGCTACTCCAGAGGCTGAGCAAAAAAAATCACAAGTTTAAGGCTAGCCTAGGCAACTTAGGGAGGAGATGTCTCCAAAAAAGGGGATGGTGGGAGGCATGCTGGGAATGTAACTCAGTGGTACAGCACTTGCCTAGCAGGCACAAGGCCCTGGGTTCAGTCTGGGAAATTGGAAGAAAACAAAAAATTGAATGGGCTGATAGCGTAGTTTAGTGGTAAAAGCATGTGCTTACATGTGCATAGCCCTGGGTTCAATCCCCATCACCAAAACTAAAATGGAAAAAGGGCTTTGTACTTTTTCATTTTGCTGTAACTTACCTTTCCTTATACTTTATGAATTATTGGTTGACATAGGCTAGCAATGAAAAAAATTAGTCCCTAGTCCCTCCTCACAAATACTCTGAAAAATATCATGGCAAATGATACTATAAATTTTAATATTTACAAAAGATCCAAAACTTTTTTTTGAAAACATGAAGTAAAAATCTACTAGTATTTAGCAAAGTTTTTAGGCTCTAGGTTTTTGTTGTTTTGTTTTTGCTTCTCTTTGTTCTTCAAAGGGAATAATATTATTTAAATAGGGATAAAAATCTCTATTTAAACTACAATGCCATCAGATCTCCGGGTTGTATAAAAGTATGTTTTAAAATTTACAAAGAAATAATTCTGTTAATAAAAACTAGAAGAAAAAAGTCACTACAACAAAGCCTACAATGATTTTTAAATAAAGTTAACTTACCCATTGACACATATGATTTAAATCGTGTTGATAATCTGTCCACAAAGGCACTTAAAATTTCCAGTCCCATTAATGATACCTACAGACAGAAGTTTTCATAAATACAAATTATTGATGGATACTTTTACTTTCATATCAGTACAGGTAATTAATTTCTAACATAGAGAAACTTTTATGTATTATCAAGTCTTTCAAAGATGAATTAAAGTATTTAAGGGTAAATGGCCATGAAGTTGAGGCACCCTACTCTGAAATGGTTCAACAGTAATAGAAGTAATAATAATAATAAGAAGAACAAAAACAACAACAACTAAATATGTGAGGAGATAATGATAAGCCATATTCAGGAAAAAAATTAATAACTGGTAAATTTGGTGAAGGTTACAGAAGAGTTCACGGACAATACTGGCACTTTAACTTTGAAATGTTTCCTAAATGACACAGTTAAAAATTCAAAAAGTATCCTAATTATGAAGAAATTTCAACTTGTCTAGAATACAGAAACTGGAAAAACATTACTTCCATTCTACCAAGCAAGAGCCAAGCCACATACAAAATGACAACTATTCTCGACTGTACCTAACAGCTGAGGTTGTAGAATAACCAGTCAGCCTGAAATCTAAAAAGGAAAAAGAATATACTGGACACAGGCAGTAAGTCAAATGACAGAAGAGGGAAATGAAACTAATACAAGTGGGCAAGAATTCAACTGCATTTAACAAATTATTAACAGGTAAGTGTAGGCTAATATGAAAATACAGAATCTCTACTAGCCACAGATACAAGGACAGTCCACCAACTTGTACACTCTAGTTTGCACCCACTTGCAAGCTCTTTCTCCACAAACCTCCACATTCACAGTTAAGACTGAAGGCTGAGCAGAAGAATGGGGAAAATATCCCCTGGCACAGGAATGGAAGGAAGGAGCAGCTGCCTCTGTGGGAAAGGCACAAATACCCTTGCCCTACAAAAACCAAAATTCTAAAGTCCTGAGGAAGAGAGATCAAACACTATTACCCCTACAACACAGGTAAAACTCACTGCTGTTGACAAAAGAAAAAAGACTGACAGTCCTCTTCTTAAGTAGAGGGCACCAAAAAAATACCATCTTGGTCACCAATAATTAAAAGGTTTTAGGCAGGGAGGAGTATCATCTTTGATAAAACCTCAGCCCAAGACTCAAGAAGAAAGAGCCTCCTAAGACTGGAACTGGACTAGAAAAACAAGAAAATGATCCCATTCCTCACAACCAGGCTAGCAAGCATGAAATAAGAAGAAACAAGAGTCTATTACCAGGGAAAGAGCAGGAAGGCAGGGGAAAAGCCCTCTGTGAAACACAGGATAATAGGAAAAGCCTAAAGTACAGGGTTAAGCAGAAACAGTAAGGAAAACCCTACATCAAACTAAGCAAGTTAACAGGGACTTGAAGCAAATACAAACTAAAGCTAACTGTAGCAACCACAACAGACAAACCTAACTTCCAACTACTGACTAGACTGATTACACAGCTCAACACTGTACGTTTAACAGAAAAATCATGCATGCCATCTGAAGCATAAATATTATTTACCTTAGTCTTAAATTTCCTAAACACTGTCCAACTTCCAACTAAAAATTATGAAATGCAATGAGAGCTGGGGGGAGAGGAATCTCAATGTCAAGGACAACCAACAAAACAAAATACATACATAATCCATAGACTAAACCACCATAGAATTTAAAAGTAATAATGATCATTAGCATGCTATACGCTCTAGTTAAAATATCACAAAACAGGCACGATCTCATCAGCACAGATATAAAAATCCTAAACAGAGTCAAATACTATGATAAAAAAAAAACAAAAAAAAAAGTATTTTTTTTTAAAAAGTGATAAAAGGAGTTATACTCCTTACTTTAGCTGGGCAAGGTGTAGACACCTGTAATCTCAGCTGAGGTTGAGGCAGGAGGATCACAAATCTGAGGCTAGACTGGGCAAGTTAATGAGGCCCTATCTCTCAAAATAAAAAGGACTGGCAACAACACTCAGTGGTGTTCCTGGGATCCACCTCCAGTGGGGATGCTGGGGGCCTCTAATGGACTCACCAACAGATGTGCCACAGAGAAGAATCAGTGAATTGATGCGAGGCTGATAAAAAGTATCCAAATCAAATATACTAAAATGGAAGAAACTGGGAGGGAGAAGAGCTAAAGTATTTAACAACACTGGGACAATATCATATTGTCTGATATATCGGAATTCCCAAGAAAAATAAGAGAACAAAGTAGAAGAAACATTTGGAGGTAAAAGGAAAAGAAAAAATGGTAAAAATATCACAAAGCATCAAAGCATCTACCTTTGAGTCTCAGAGTACCTGAGAAAGGAAAATTTCAAGAAATACCAAAACACATAATATTCAAACTGTTAAAACCAAAAGAAAGGAAAATCTTAACACCAATGAGAAGAAAAAAAAAAATAAGTCCAGCAAGCTTCCTGCCCAAAAGTACGTGAATCAGGAGACAATGGAGAGACATATTTATAGTACTGAAAAAAATTTCTGACTCAAGTTTCTGTATCTCATAAAAACATCTTTCAAAAATAAAGGAGAATTAAAGACTCTTTCAACACACAAAATGTGACAGAATTCATTATACTACATCCGTATCACAGGAAATGTTTAAAGGAAAATCTTCAGGCAAAAAGTTGCATATGACAACAAGCAAAAACTGAGATCTGCACTAAGTAATTCATAAAACAGGTAAAATTTAAGTAAATATTAAAAAAAATTTTTTAAATATATAAAAATATATATTTCATCAATCTAAAAAATAACTGACATTAAAGCAAACATTAAAACTAGTGACTTAAAATCATGGATGAAAGGTCAGAAAAATCAACTGTTTTATATATTAGCATTCAATAACTGGGGACTGAAATACGTTAAAATAGTACCATTAATAAAACATATAAAATACTTAAGATATAAACTTAACAACTATGTACAACACCATTCCAGTTAATAAATGAAGGAATGGCAGAATAGAATATCACCATTGTGCAAGCCCTAAAGAATTAATACATCTAGATAGTAAACATTAATGGTTGCTAAGCTCACAAAAAAAGATAGTAAGACCTTATTTGCCTCCTGATGGGTGGAGAGCACTCCCTATGAAATAGTCTTGATCCCAAAAAAGGGGGGTGAGAGGGACTTGGATCTGATCAAGTTTCGAATCCAACTAAATTAATAATACAATATATAAGAAATAAAGAAAAAACAGTCAAACATCATTACAGGAATGAAATCAGCAAAATTCAGAATATGGGGCATTCTTCCACAAATAAAAAACCAAAAATTTTTAACAATAGAACTGTAGGTAGGAAAGAGATTAAAAGACACATAATAAACACGTTAAATCTGGCAGCAGAATAATGGTTTCCCAAAGGTATTTACATCTTAACACCCAGAAACTAGATGTACATGATGAAAGGGACTTTGCAGGCAGGAGAAAAGAGTCTGGATTATCCTAGGTCCAATATATCACAAGTCCTTTCCTTTTTTCTTTTCTTTCCTTTTCTTTTGTTGTATTTTTTTTCTTTTTCTTTTTCTTTTTCTTTTTTTTTTTTGATGTATTAATTCATTAGGGCTTGCACAATGGTGATATTCTATTCTGCCATTATCAAGAATTCTTGATAATGGCAGAATAGGGTCTTGCTACACAATACAGGCTAGCGCTGAACTCAACAGGCAGCCCAGGCTGGCCTAGAACTTAAAATCCTCCTGTCTCAGTTTCCCAAGTGCTGAGATTACAGGGATGCACCACCATGTGTGGCTAAAATAGTGATTTCTTTAGATATAGACTCAGGAGTAGGATTTCTAGATTATATGGCAGATCTATTCTTAATTTTTTGAAGAACCTCCATGCTGTTTTCTATAAGCTCTATTAACTTACCTTCTCACCAATACTGAAATACAATAAACCTTTCCTCATTTGAGTGTCGGGTATGAGAAAAGTTCCCCTTTCTCTACATCCTCACCACACTTCTTGTTCTTTGACTTCTTGATAACAGACATTCTTACAAGTATGAGGAAGTATCTTACTATGATTATTAATATCATTTTTCATACACCTATTACCCCTTTATATGTCTTTGTGTATGTGTGCATGCAAGCACATGTGTGTGGTGCTGGGAATGCAGGCAAAAACCCAAACTCTTGTACTAAGGAAGAACTCTACCACTAAGCTACATCCCAATCCTTTTTACTTTGAGTTGGATATAATAAAATTGCCCAGTTTCACCTTGATCCTCCTGCCTCCGCCTTCAGAGCAGCTAGGATTATAAGTACATGCCATCACGCCTCATCATCTATATGTCTTCTTTTGAGAAATACCTATTCAGGTCTTTTGCTGCTTTTGCTTTTTGTTCTGTTTTGTTTTTTGAGATGCATTTTGCCATACTCATCTCTAACTCTGAGGCTTAAGTGATACTCTGCATCAGATTCCCCAGTGCTAAGTTTATAGCCCACCATTCCTAGCCTGCTCTTTTCTTTCTTTCTTTCTTTCTTTTTTTGTTTTTGATTTTTGAGACAGGGTCTTGCTATGTAGTTCAGGCTGGCCTTGAACTCATGGTGATCCTCCTGTATCAGCCTCCCAAGAGCTGGCTTGTTTATTTTTAACTGGATATTTGATATTAAAGAATTCTTGATTGTGTTACTGTAGTAATGACACTGAGGCTATATTAATAGGGCCTCACTATTAGTCTAGACCACCCTTAAACTCATTAAGTAGCCCAGGCTAGCCTCAAACCCACAATCATCCTGTCTCAGCCTCCCACGTGCTGGGATTATAAGCATATGTCATCACACTCAGCCAAATGTCTTTTTAAGAGTGGTTACCCTTGAGACACGGACTAGACTAACTACAAAGTCTTAAAGATAGAACAATATGACATCTATAATTTATGACAAAAGTAATGAGTAGAATTAGCCTTGTGTTAATGACCTTTGCAGCTGAATTTACCTTACTATCTATATTTATATATGTTCAAGGTCCTCCATAATAAAGCTTAAAAATTATAGTATTCATGATTCCCAATGGTAA